GTGAGAACATGTGGCATAGAGGACGGCTTCTGGTGTTACCACGGAAACAGATTTTAATCACAATTTTGACAAACCATCATTTTGTTTGCGTAGATGTTGATGAAATGTTCCACAATATACAATTAAACATATCCATTGTCCCTCACTATACATTTTTTCTGTGATTTTGCTTTTTTTTTGTTTGTTTGTTTGTTTTTTTACAGTGTATGTGCATTGTGTTTCTCCTCCTGCGTCCTGATTGGCTAAGGGACTGTAGACCATTGTCAGTCGATCTCCTCCGTGCCGTGTCTCCTGTACAGTACAGAATGTGTTCAACTTGCCAAATTTAAAGGGCCCATCTCATGCAAAATATTTCTTTTCTCATTGTATCTTCTGCACATATACAAGCACTATGTGGGTTTTGGAACATCTATTACACAATAGTCAGAGAGCAGGAACCATGAAAGGCCGACTATTGCTCATCCCCCCCGCCCGTCCTGAGAAAGCACAGGCTCCGCCCTCCAAATGTGACGTAGGCTCTGAGTGAGCCGCCCTTCCTCCGCCCATCTCAGGGAGGGAGGGGGAGACAGGTGTGCGCCCTGATAGTGGTAGGAATAAACTTTTATTCATCATGGAGATACAACGCGTTCAGCCGCATGTGTTGGACCCGGAATCGGACGAGGACTTGGAGGTGCATGAAGCTCAAGCACCGCGTCCACATCAGCTGAACATTACTGATTGGTAAAGTATTAATAAACACTAGTAGATAAACTTTCGGGCAGGTGGCGTTTAACTACTCAAATTAAAAAAATATAATATATTATAGCCTATATTGTTAAAGTGTTATGAGATATGCATCTTTACTCCTATGTGCAATGTTTCGAGTGGCGTGTGGCGTGAGCATGAGTGAGTGACTGCGTGCGTGCTCCCCAGGCACACGCATTTTGAATAGGCCCGCAGAGCGTACGGGTGTCTATGTTTCACTGTATGTGAAATGAATGGTAGGAAGGCGACTGGAGCGAGTCAGGAAGCAATTGCCTTGTTATTTAGTGCATCACGGCAAATAAATAAATAAATTCATGAGCAATGAACTGGCGCGTTTATTGAGCCCACGCTGCACTCACAGTGAGATTCCGAAGAGGGAGTTAAACCCTGAGCAACAAGCGGCGTTTTGTTACGGACAATTAAGAATGTGAACATGCACGTTGGGTGAATTTTGGAATGAATGAGCTATAGAGTTTGCATTTTTATCAAGGCTCCTTAGTTTGTTTGCTATATGATTGTTCTAAAATCTAAACTCAATCGGTGGATGGCGGGCGAGTGCGGTTTTGAAAATTGGTCAAAACTTTGGGTGCAAATGGATAGCAGGCGAATGATGAGTTTTGTGTCGCGGTTGCGGATGAAAAAATAGCCCATCCGCGCATCTCTAGTCCACTGCAGTGTAGAACAATGAGCTTATGCTGTCGCTTTTGTTTAGGTGTTCATTTGGGAATTGTCAGTCGATGCAAGGTGGAGGCGGTGGAGCGGGGGAGGTTGGTGGGTGCGAATCGCTTTCTGCTACGTCAAACGCGTCATAGGTGTATCTGGCCACGTCATCGTTGTAGCAGCTTTAGCTCGTTGTCATGTGGAAGGGTGGCAGAAATATGCTGCAATTTGTTAAAAAAAAACGTTGAATCAATCTAAAAACCACTTCGGCGACATATACAAGGCCCACACATCACTCTAAGGCTACGTTCAGACTGCAGGGCTGAACACTCAATTCGGATTTTTTGATGAAATCCGATGTTTTTGCGAGGTCATTCACATTTCCAATTAAATGTAACTTGTATGTGAACTCCAGTGTGAACATTAAATGGCCCAAAAGTGTCCCGCATGCACACTGGAGGAAATGACGACATCAACCGCAGCGAGCGTGCTCTGTGTTTACGGAAGTTGTTCAAACATGGACGCAGCATTGAGCACCTGGAGATTTTAAAGTTCCTCTCGTACCGTAGCCAGAACATGAACAACTTACTTGTTTTAAGGAGGAGATTGAGAAAGAGAAGGACAAGGTTTTTGGTCGTGGTGTTTTGTGGGACAGCGGCAGCGACGTCCGTTGAAAGGAACGTGTGGATGTGGAGACGTAGCCAAGAGTGATGAGTGGTGATGTGCTTCACTTCAGTGACACGGAGTTCATTAACAATTTTCGCCAACTTCAGCACAGAAACGTGTAGGTCGGATGAATGCGCTTTGGCCGTTCAGACTGAAGTCACATGTCAAAAGATCAGATATGTATCGGTTTTAGGAGCACATATCCAAGTGGCCTGGGTCACATTTGAAAAAATCGGATCTGTGTCGTTCAGACTGTCATTAAAAGATCAGATACAGGTCACATAGGGACCAAAAAATCGGATTTGGGTCACTTCAGGCTGCAGTCTGAACGTAGCCTTAGAAGGTAGAAAGCTCTGAAAAGTTGATTTTGCTCGAGATGGGCCCTTTAAATAAATATTCGATCTCTAGCAGTGTGATTTTGAAGTGCTGTTTGTTTGCAAGTTTTCTACCTGACAAAACCCACCTCTAATGCCCTGCTGTTTTTTTGGCATTTTTTGGCAACGCAATAACATCTCCATGGAGACGAGCAGTTGCCAAATCCTCCACCAGAAAATTTACATAGTGCACCTTTAGTTGTGTCTGATTACCCCAGACTGAAGTGGTTTATGCAGGAACCAAAACACTGTCTCATGAAACCCGAGGACCTGAAATGAATATTTAGTAGCGGAGCAGTTGTTTCATTTGGGTGTTTTAAAATGCAAAGAGTACTTAAACTACTAACAAGTAATGAGGAGGTGTAACAGTGTGTATGACAGTTTTGACAATTCTCTGTTTTTTACTTAATCTGCTGGGATAAAACAAGGCATAAAGAGGTAGGGATAAAAGGGTCTGCTGTCCCGGTACTCAGGGTTTTAGGGGCCCGGAGTTGGACGGTCTTCCTTATTATTTTCTATTAGAGAGGGGCCCATGTGAAGGTTCTTGCCCCAGGCCTTCAAGTTTCTGTCGACGGGCCTGGTTGTAAATATAAATGACACTATTATTATTTTATACCAAACAAGAAGCAGTTTGTGAAGAAAAGTTGAAACATACAGTATGTTGAAAATGACAGAAAGTGAAGAGTTTTATTTTAGAGAGTTCAATATCGATGACACTAGGGAGAATTCCATCTAAAAATTCAACACAGTTTACGTAAGAAACACGAAGACACATTCAACTTGGGAATTATAAGTTTAACATGACTTTTTTTTACATTTAAATAGCAAAGAATACCAAATAACTCTCACTAACTTCTCATTTCTGCTGTTGTCTCATGAAAATCTAATCTAAAATTTAAAAAAAAGTCAACTAATACCACACACTGTATATATAACATAGCAAACCCCCATGTTCCAAAGTAAACCTGGATGCACTTCCGGCTCCATCGACTCTAATTCACTTTATTTTGATGAACTATTGATTATCTATTATCTGTCTATATCTGTTTCTCTTTTTTGGTCTTTAAATGTCCGTACTAACCCACAGTACACTTAGCAGCAGGTTTGATTGACAGAGTTGCTATGCATCTGCTCCCTCCTCATGGATCAATAATAAAATTTGCATAAGTTATTCCCCCTCTGTCCAGCTCGAGACCAACTAGTGGCTGCTCCAGGTACTGTGACTCCCAGGAGCTTGGGCCCAGAAAGAATTCTGCCTTAGAAGCACAAGGCATTTTTTGGGGAATTCAAACTGCTCATGTTTGGCTGACAGGGCATCCACAACTTTCACAAAGGTTGGATTTTGTAGGGATTCTTTTCTATTTTCACAACATAAACTTTTTAAAATATTTTAAATTCTCAAAGCTGCTAAAGGTTAGACTTTAGACTTTAGACTAAACTCGTTTGGCACATACAGCAACAACACCGCACAACACAACACACACACACATTACAGTAGACATTACAGTGCACTCAGCGGGACCTGGTGTTCAGAAATGTGAATGGCCGAGGGGATCAGGATTCTGCCAAAGCGGGCCCTCGTGCACCTGAGCACCCTGTACCTCCGTCCTGAGGGCAGTGGGATGAGGTGTTCCTGTAGTGGGTGAGTGGAGTCCTGTTCTATGGAGAGTGCAATGCGTCCAATGTCCCTGTTGTTAAGATCCGCGAGGTTGGGTGTTAGCTTTATTAGACTCAGTGTAACCCCGCTCTGAGCCTGCCCTAGCTCCAATCTAGCAGCTCTCGCACTGATTGGTCCAAACGCTCAACGCCATGCACGTTACTGATGCCACACAGGTAGGAGGAGCTCGCCCGTATTGAGGAAGTAAATGCAGAAGAAAACATTTTTTTGGGGCCCATGCGACATTGAGCACAGGCCACTGAAAATAAGGCGACGTCATCTAGGATTCATCTTCCAGATTTTATTATAGTTCTATGTCCCTGCTAAACCAGTAGTGTGGTCAGGAATTTTCAATAGCCTTGCTCCTGATTGGCTCTTTGATTAGTATGATACTTGCAGTCGGAATTCCAAATATGGAGCACAGCTCTAAAATCTGCTATGTAACTGCAAGCCTCAATGAGCTTCATTTGACTGGAGCCAAACGCTATGGGTGACATCACACTCCTTTAGTCTAGGGATGTAACAATATCCAAATCACGATATTATCAAAATATCCATCTCACGGTACGATATTTATTGCGGTATTCTGAAGAGGCTGATATAATTGTAGATTAAAATGCCTTGACAAGATTTTAGTGTGAATTATTTCGATCATAATCCCAAGAATTCAAGTAAAAAACATATTTCTTCATGTTGTCTGCATTGAAATGAATCATGGAATATGTAGTTTCCAATGTTCATATGCTGGTGCTACTATAAAACCTGCATTTAAGCAAAGGAACTTGTAATTCAATATATTGTAACAGTCCACGACATTATTGTGAGACTTTTGACGATATGATATCATGATATTTCGGTTATTGTTACATCCCTACTTTAGTTTTATACATTTTGATTAA